CCGGGCAGCCCGTACTTGGCCAGCTCCCCGGTGCCGCCAGCCGGCCCCCCTGGCAGCGCTGGCAGCTCGGCCGCCACCACGGGCAACATTGGCACCCGGGCAAGCAACCCGGTCGCTGTCCCCTCCCGTCGCCGCCAGTGCTCTGCCGCCGCACCCAGCCCCGCGCCCAGCGCCAGGGTCAGGCCGACCCGCAGCGCGCGCATGGCCTACAGGAGAACGAGCGCGGCCTGAGTGCGGGAAGTTGTCTATCGACCCGGGTGCCAGAGCCTCCGGTGACCCACGCAGGTATCCGTGGGGCCTTCTCTGCCCTTTTGGGACGCGACCTGGGGCGTGACACCGCCCTACCCGCTTGTCATTGGTCACTGCCAAGTCTGGCTCCGCCTCACCCTGGGCGCCACCGGAAACCTTACCTCTTGCAGGGCGTGAAGCGCCGCCCTAGCGGCCGTGCATTTAACCCTCACAGAGTCTTGGGAAACCTAGTTACTTGAACAGGACAGAACCCCAGATCTGTCAGACCCCTCCTGTCCACCCATAATTGCGCCGCCAAATGACAAGGATTCCTCTAGATTGGCTGGCAAAAGGTCCAGGCTGTAGGCTGTAACTGCTGACAGCAGCCTGAATTTGAAGCTTGCTAATAAGGTTATATAGAAAGCTGCTGGAAAAGCCTACACTAAGATCATTAGGGCCATACGTTTCTTTTTCTTTCTTTTTTTGTTTTTTGTTTGGTTTTGTTTTAGTTTTTTGAGACAGGATTGTCTCTAACAGCCCTGGCACTCCTGGAACTCGATCTGTAGTTCAAGCTGGCCTCGAACTCACTGAGATTCACCTGCCTCTGCCTCCCAAGTGCTGAGCTCCTTTCAACCCTCTTAAAGGGCTGAGCCTGGAAAGTATGTTCTATATGACAGTGTTTCCTGTCCATAGAAACTGGAATACGCAAAGTACTCAACACTAGGAGCTGTATAAGGATATTTGCTGCACATCAGATGGAACAGCATTTAAAATATGAATATTTTAGGACAGCAACTTGCCTACCACCTTTAAGGTGGAGGAAAGAACAAGCAAATAGGGCTGAGAGTCTACATCAGAGCCTCACTCGTTAGCATGAGACAATCCCAATTATTCATTAAAAGTTAAAATGTGAAATAGAGGATCAGAGGGTCCTGAAAGGAAATAAAAATTCACAGCACATACAAATGGAAGTGTTATAATGGAACTCACGCTTTTGTTTGCTTGTTTTTTTTTTTCAAGATAGGGCTTCTCTGTGTAGCCCTGGCTATCCAAGAACTTAATCTTTAGACCAGAGTGGCCTTGAACTCAGAGATCCACCTGCCATCTCTGTGAGTTGCAGGACAGCCAAGGTTACATAGCGAAACCCTGTATCGAAAGAGAGAGAGAGAGAGGGAGGGAGAGAGAGAGAGAGAGAGAGAGAGAGAGAGGGAGGGAGAGAGAGAGAGAGGAGAGAGATCCACCTGCTGCCTCTGCCTCATGAGTTGAGTGCTGGAATTAAAGGTCACCATTGGCTGGGCATTGGTGGCGCACGCCTTTAATCCCAGCACTCAGGAGGCAGAGGCAGGCTGATCTCTGTTAGTTCAAGGCCAGCCTGGTCTACAGAGCGAGTTCCAGGACAGCGAAGAAACCCTGTCTCAAATAAATAAATAAATAAAGGTCACCATGGCCAGGAGAAATTTTATTAAAAAAAAAAAGGCAATGTTGTAGCAATTAAGAACACACTGGGGGGGCTGGAGAGATGGCTCAGAGGTTAAGAGCACTGACTGCTCTTCCAGAGGTCTTGAGTTCAATTCCCAGCAACCACATGGTGGCTGACAACCATCTACAATTCAATCTGGTGTATATGTAATTAATAAATAAAATCTTTAAAAAAAAAGAACACACTGGGGAGGGGGCTGGAGAGATGGTTCAGTAGTTCAGAGCACTGTTGCTCTTGCAATGGACCCAGGTTCAGTTCCCAGCACCCACATGGCCACTCACAACCATCTGTAACTCCAAAGAATCTGATGCCCTCTTCTGGGCATCTCCACACACACCAGATATACATGGTCCACAGACAACATAATTTTGTTCTTTAAAGATGACGTACTGCTCTTGCAGAGAACCCAAGCTCAATTACAGGCAGTCACAGCCTCCCCTAACTTCAGTGGTAGGGGGTCTAATGCCTCTGGACTGTGCAGACACCTGCATTCCTACACGGGTGTTCCCACACAGACATGCACATATTAATAAAGTTAAGTCTATGGTGAGGCATTCAGTTCAGTTGACCAAGTGCTTGCCTAGCATGCACAAAGCCCTGGGCTTGATCTGCAGCACTTCATAAAGCAGATGTGATGGAGCATGCAGCACTGGGGGGGGGAGTGGAAGGAGGAAGACTGAAATTTCAAGGTCATCCTCAGCCACATAAAGTTCAAACCTAGCCTGGGATACGGGAAAGCCTGTCATTAAAAAAAAAGTTGCAATGGACATCAGTATTTTTTTTTATAGATTGTAGGTATAGGAATCATTTTTTTCCCCTAATAGCAATTTGGCATCGTGATTCCTATCTGTAATCTCAGTACTAGGGAGGCTGAGGCATACTTACTATGAGCCTGAGCCAGTTTGGGGTGACTGCCTTACATACACACAAAAGCAGAGTAGTATGCCATGTGTATCTATACCATTTTTCCATCTGTGGAAGTTAGATTTTCGGCTCCTGTGAATGTCACCAATAAATGAGAGCGCTTTGGGGGCTATGTCCAACAAGTATCCCCCTGCCTTCTGGTAGCTACAGTTCCAGGCTTTAGGATGAAGTTTGCAACCCATTTGAGAGTTGGTATCTCTGCGTGGTTTAAAAGTCTCATTTCACTTTTCTGTGAGTGGAAAACCAATTCTCTCAGCACCTTTTACTGTCCTTTCTACCCCGAGTTCTTGGCTCCTTTGTCAAAAGGCAATTGACTACAGGGGCTGGGGAGATTGCTCAGCAGTTAAGAGCTCTGGTTGCTCTTGCAGAAGACCTAGGTTCAGTTCCCAGGATCCACAGGTGGCTCACAACCATCTATAACTACCGTCCCAGGGGATGTGGTACCTTCTTCTGGCCTCCATGGGCACTAGGCACACATGTAGCAGGCAAGCACATAAAATCTTTTTTGCCAGGCAGTGGTGGTGCACGCCTTTAATCACAGTAGTCAGGAGGCAGAGGGAGGCAGATCTCTGTGAGTCCGAGGCCAGCCTGGTCTACAGAGTCCCAGGACAGCCTCCAAAACAATACAGAGAAACCCTGTCTCGAAAAGCCAAAAAAAAAAAAAAAATCAATTGAATGCAAGGTTTATGCCTGTTTCTGGGCTTTTGGCTCTATTAACTGATGTCATATCTTTTTTTCCTTTTCTTTCTGGTTTTTCAAGACAAGGTTTCTTCCTGTAGCAGCTCTGGCTGACTTGGAACTCTCTATAAACCAGGCTGGTCTTGAACTCACAGAGGTCTGCCTGCTTCTGCCTCCCAAATGCTGGGAATAAATGTGGAAGTCATGTATTTCCATCAGCATCAGGCTGTTTCGATTATCATAAACTAGTATTTTAAAGTAAGGTAGCCTCCAGCACTGTCCTTTTTGCTCACGATTATATCAGGTATCTGGTATCTTTTATGGTTCCTGAACACATACATTTTCAAACTGATTCTTTAATTTTTCTGTGAAAAATGACACGTGTGTGTGTGTGTGTGTGTGTGTGTGTGTGTTAGGACCCATAGCCTCAGGCAAGCAAAGCAAACTCTCAGCCACTGAGCTACACCTCCATGTCATAGCCATTTTGTTTAAGGCAGGGCCTCACTAGGTAGTTCCAGCAAGACTGAAAGCCATTGCACAGACCCGGCTGGTCTCAAATTTGCCAGGATTCTTTGTGGAGTGCTAAGGTCACAGGTACGTGCCACCACACCCACACCCACACGCTGGAATTTTGATAGGGACTACAATTACTGAGTGGGGTTTGAGTTTGCACCAAGCTCCTGCACCTCCAGCTTATATAATACTAAATTGTAGTGAGCTGGAACCCTTCCTCCCACCATCCCATAATCACTGAGGGGTGACCTAAGCCACCTTCTTACACACTCCCTGTCCTGGGCTTATTAGCAGTGAGTTGCTTAAGCTGGAGAAGGAATTATTATTTTCTCACCAGCTGGAAAAGATTCATTCATTCAACTACATACACCTAGAACCTATTAAATTGCAGTGCTCTGGACACTGGGAATGAAGATGAGTTCTCCCAGCCTGCAAATGCAGAGTAAGCACCCTCTTGTTTCTCTGCACCTCCCTCATCTTCTCCCAAGGCTTCACAATGTTGGGTATTCTTGCGGCTGGGCCTGGCTCAGTGGTCCAGCGCTTGCTTGGTGTGTGTGAGGGCCTGGGCCCTACGACCAGCACAAAAATCCTCAGTACGTTTATCTCTTTTAGGTGTTGCAAGTAGCATTTTATTATTTTCAGTTAGCAATAGAAGCACCCCTGATTTTTAGCCAGGTGTGCTGGTACGCACCTTTAATCCCAACACTCAGGAGGCAGAGGCCCCAGCGTCAGAGGCTAAAGTGGAGGAACAGAGTTGGAGGCTAGCTTGGACTACAGAGCAAAATTCTTGTCTGTAAAACTAAATATTAGCTAACCTAAAGAACAATGCGCTGCCAGGGCAGGTGAGGTGGCTCAGAGAGTAAAGGCGCTGCCACCAGCCTGATGGCCTGAGTTTGATTTCTGGGACCCACGGGATAGGAGGGAACAGACAGTAGCAAGACTTCTAAACCCACAGGACACACACAAACAAATACAACTAAGAAAGGGATAATGAAGTGATGTGTGCTGGCCAGCCCCTCCATCCTATGCCCACCTGTCTCCTGCTGACTGTGGCAACTGAACTGGAAGTCAGGCTCTCCTGGCAAGCGTTTCTTGGTCTTTCTTAGACCAGGATAAGGGACTGGCTTTGTCCTTGCTCCGAAGTCTCAAGTCCAGCCATTGAAGCCAATACTCATGGTAAAGAGCACATGGTTTATTAAAGACAACTTGTTGATAGCACTGACTCAGAGAACGGATGAGAACACAAAAGTCACTGCCATTCCAACCCTCAGGCGACCTGCTGCGCTCCTGGGGACACTCCCAGGTAGAAGCTGCAGGTACTGAAGACTCTGGTTCTCCCTTAAGAGTCATCAAAGGCAACTCCTTTCCTCAGGCAGCACCCAACGGGGACGGAGTCGCCCTACTCAAGACAATATCCATGTCCTTGGCCTTCATCTCAAGGACCAAGTAGTGGGCACAGGATACAGGTCTCCCACAGAAACAAACTGGATGCAGTGATCCCAACAGCATGGTCCCAGGAAGGAAGAGAGGACGAGAGGGAGGGAGGGAGGGGAAGGACAGACGAGAGGGACTACATTAGGTGTCCAAGGCAGTGTCTGTTGGCTTCCAGGCCATGAAGAGGTCAATGCTGGGGCTGAACTACAAGCTGACAAGCCCTAGGTGGAGGTGTGGCCAGGATGGGGGGGAGTGTATGTGTCCTGCATCTTTGAGTACAGCAGATGTACCGGCTCTGGCCTCCCTTATAGCCGGTTCTAGTGTAGAGCTGGCAGCATTCCCAGTCAGGAATGGCAGAGGATGTCACACACTCACAGCCCCAAGTCACTTGGCAATCTGCAATAAATAGCCCGTGTCTAAATAAATAGTTAAAAAAAAATCACCCAAATATTCTGTCTTGGGGGAGAAGGTAGCAAAAAGGCGAGCAGAGAGACCCAGCAGTACCCAAGGAGCTCACTAAAGTAGTGGCCTGGGAAGGCAGGGAGCCCAACTCTTGCCTGGCCAATCTGAGAGGGTGAGGACCCTTGCCATCAACCTGCCTTCAGGACCCAAAATACCTGGCCTCCACATAAAAGGAGGGGCATGACAGTGTCAAAAAAAGCCTACTTGCTGAACAAGGAGCAGTTCGGGGCACGCTGACCACGGGCCAGGAGATAGCCGAAGCTTCTCTGCAGCCCCCATGGGAGTAGAGGCCAGATGTAGGTCTCCTGGCACTGAGAGGTTCCAGGCCATCCAATCCTGGACACACAGAGGCATCCTTTGATCCCCTTGCCCTTGAGGAGACTTGCACACCCTGGGTAGGAGTGTGGAAGCCAAGAGGATGACAGTTCTACTGAAATGCTTAGAGTCCAACTCCCAGGCACAGCACATCCAGGCTGTGCTTGATCTCTGAGATGCTCAGTCTTCAGGGAGCCCAACAGACTCTCCTACTCCCTCCTTTCTCCATACTTGAGCAGAAAATGGGCAAGAGGCCCAAAGCTTCGCAGGCCCCGCTGTCAGCAGCACTCAGTTTCCACAAGCAGAGCAGGGCCAGGGCCTCTGATGAGCCACTGTGGGTTCCCTCTCTGATTAGGGGACTCTGCCACCTCGGGCTAGGGATGGGAACAGGATGCTCAAGCCAAGGGTGGCCTTCAGGGGTCTTACTAGGCCACACTTCTCATTCTGACTGCTGGCTTCAGGAAGCAGAGAGGAGGAGAGGGGAAGAAGCTTGGGGTAAGGCATCCCAAGAGAAGGGTAAGGAGAAATGGAGAGAAGCGGAAAGAGCAGGAGCCACACACGCCTCTGGCGAAGGAAGAGGGAGACAGGCAGAGGGAGAGACACAGAGAAGGGGAGCAGGGCCGTAGAGGGATTCCAACACACCCTCACTCCACTTCCAGGGCACGTGTGAACACACATGTACATAACACAAAGGCAGAGACACGTGGGGGACAGTCACAAGCAAATACACCGGGCAGGAGAGACAAAAGGTGGACCTACATCGGGCAGTCACTCAGCTCTTCTGGGGACACTTCCCCAAGTAGCTTGAGCACCAACACTCGGGGAGGGTTTCTGGCCCATTAGCCAATTACCTCCCTGACCAGGACCCACAGGAAGATGAAATACAAAGGATGAGGGCTTCTGGGCAGGCACGGCAGGACCCTTGCCAGCCTCTGGTGCCCCGAGTGGGCCCAGCCCTAGGAAACCAGTTCGGGAGCTGCAGCCCTGCTCAGCAGTCTGGGTGGAGGTCTCAGGGCTGAGGTGCAGGGAGAGTGGCAGCGCCAAGCACTGGGAAGGAGCACGGCACAGCGTGCTCCAGGAGGAGTAGCCTGGACCGCGGGAACCAGGCTGGGAAGACCTGGAGCTGGCCAAAACCACAGCTTGCTGTCAGCCGGCTTCCCCATCGGCTCCTTCATGTCCCACAAACGGGGGTGTAGAGCCCAGGTGGGTGCTCTTCCAAACCTGGACCTCTTGCCACCAGGTTACTTCGAGTCTTGGAGCTCCTTGGCTTTCTGTAGGATCTGGCAGACGTCTGTGATGGGGTAATCCTGAACACCAGGAAAACCACAATGCGCTCCTGGAGTAGGCCCCGCTTGGCTCCACTCGTCACACCCTCCCACACAGACCTGTCGCCACGGTGTGGCACCAGGGACAGGGACCACGGTGTACCAGACACCCCAAGTATTCTGCCCCAAACAATGCCTGTCACCGAGGTCGCAACTCCCGAGGTCCAAAGGGTCTCAGAGTCTGTCTTAGAACCAAGGTGCCCAAGGCCTCAGCCCTCCCATCTCTTGACCTGGAAGTGGAGCCACACCCATGCCAAGCCTTGAGCTAGCTGGGGCAGTGTAGCCCTTAGTCTTCCAGTCCCCAGAGGAGTCCCAAGAGGAGGTGCTGTGATTACATGATTACATCCATCTTACAGACCTAGCTAGTGAGGTTACTGAAAACCTACCCTAAGCCAGGGAGGTGTTGGTGAAGACACTGAGGCCTAGAGTATGTCACTTGGCTCAAGTCACATGACTAGGAGAGCAGAACATACATGAACCTCAGGCTTCCTGTCAGACCCATCTGACACACACCTCCCTGCCTGAGCAAAATCAGCAACACCCATTGCCTCGATCTTGCCACCCAGAATACTGAGGGCCAAGGACATACACCACTCAAGGTCTATGAAGACCAGGACTCAATTCAGATCCAAACCAGAACCCACAATATGCGATGTTTCTGGTGCAAGCCTGCCACAGTGGCTGGTACAGGGTAGAGTGTGGAAAGTGTCTGCCCTGTGGCTGGGACTGATGTCCCCTCCTGTGCCCATTACCTGCAGAAGCCGCATGTTGATGGTGAAATCCCCCTCCAGCAACTGCTCCCGGATCAGTCTGCAGGGAAAGAAGCAGCCACAGTGCTGGCCCCGGAAGGCCCGGGAGCAGGCCTGCTGCTTACTCCTCCACCCTCAGCAAGTCCCCCCGGAGGTCAGAGTTTCTGGGCTTGCTCTGGCCACCATCCAGGACTGGCACCCCCATACCCCAGCTTTCCTTATGGACAGGGCAAACCACGCCCCACTCACATGAGCATGGCACAGCAGACCAGAAGGAGAAAGTCAAAGCGGTTGTCATCGGCAAAGAGGGAGTCCCAGATCCGGATGACATCGGGCAGCAAGAACTCCTGCGACAGCAGCAGTGTCAGCCAGCGGAAGGCAAAGAACTGCGGCTTGATATTCTGCTCTTGCTGGGGAGACAGCAGGGACCGGGTGTCAGCTGCATGAAGAAAATGCCGCCTAGGAGCAAGCCCTGCTCAGGGCCCTCAAAGGGGCCGTACAGAGCCTCAGTTCACTAAGGGGACAGCTGCTGTTAATCCAGCCAAGGCTGCCATACCTTTGGATTTCCACAAGACACCAGAAACCCAGAATTTTACATTAGCCCTTCAGATTTGGAAATGATGGCTCACCACACACAATTCCTCCTCTCTGTTTGCAGACATGCGCAAGCACCAGCACCAGGCACAGTACCTGTACTCAGCTTACATAACCCAGGAAACAACCACATAGGGCAGGGCTCCCCAAGAAGGCGCACTTCGGTGAGCCACAGAGGGTATTAACAGAAAGAGCATGCAATGCGCCACTGTTGTGGAATATTACTTTAACTGGGCAAAGATGTGTTATGTTTGTTTAATGATGTAGAGACGGCCTGCCTAAGGCACCTGATTGGTCTAATAAAAAGCTGACGGGCCAATAGCTCAGTAGGACAGGCGGGGCTGGCGGGTAGAGAGAATAAATAGGAGGAGGAATCTAGGCTCAAGAAGAAAGTAATGAGAAGAGAGAGATAGAGAGGCCTGGGGCCAGTGAGCCAGACATGGAGTAGGACATACAGAAGGAAAGAAAATAAAAAAACACCAGCCGGGCGTTGGTGGCGCACACCTTTAATCCCAGCACTCGGGAGGCAGAAGCAGATGAATTTCTGTGAGTTCGAGATCAGCCTGGTCTACAAGAGCTAATTCCAGGACAGCCTCCAAAGCTACACAGGAAACCCTGTCTCGAAACACCCTCATCCCAAAAAAAGAAAAATAAAATAAAAGGCACGGAGTCAAAACATATATGAAGAGAAACGGTAAAATAAATTATAAGAGCTAGAAGAACAAGCATAAGGTAGGGCTGAGCATTCATAACTAGCAAGTCTCTATGTCATGATTTGGGAGCTGGCTGGTGGCCCAAAAGCCTGCCACACCACACAGTAAAATTAGCAATCCACATTATTTAAAAATGTATGCTTCGGGCTGGAGAGATGGCTCAGAGGTTAAGAGCACTGACTGCTCTTCCAGAGGTCCTGAGTTCAATTCCCAGCAACCACATGGTGGCTCACAACCATCTACAATTCAATCTGGTGCCCTCTTCTGATACGTAGATAGAACACTGTATATGTAATAAATAAATAAATCTTTAAAAAAAAATGTATGCTTCAAGCCAGGCAGGTGGCACACGCCTTTAAACCCCACACTGGTGACACAGAGGCTGGCTGATTTCTTGGGTTCAAGGCCAGCCTGGAATACACAGCCAGGACAGCCAGTGTTACAGAGAAACCCTGTCTCAAAAAAAAACAAATAAGGGAGGGCTCTGCCGTGGGTGAACGGGCTGTGTGTGACATGCAGTTGCTGGGGACTACTAAGACTTTAATGCAGATCCAATCTGGTGGGGTCCCCCCAGGTCCCCTCAAGACCTGCAGTTCTCCCTCCCTCCCTCCGCTCGTGCTAGAAACCAGGCCGACTGTTAAGGAAAGCAATGGATGAGGTGTGGAAGCTCGAGAGGTCACAGAATGTGGAGAGCCTGGGTGAGCGGGAAGAGCGGTTGTCCCCATTCTGACTCACCAACAGACTAGGAGCGACTAGAACACCCAGTTCATTGTGAAGAAAACAAAATCAAAATAAATAAATAAATAAAAAATAAATAAATAAAATAAAAAAATATGCATCCATGCTTTTTGCACAAAACTTTTTAAACACTTGTTTTTGAGACAGGGTCTCACCATATAGCTCCAGCTGGTCTCAAACTCACTAGATAGGCTAGCTTCAAACTCAGCAATTCACCTGGCTCTGCCTCCTAAATGCTGGGAATAAAGGTGTGTGCCACTGCCACCCCCCACCCCAGCATTTTTTGTTTGTTTGTTTGAAACAAAGTCTCTCTATGTATTATCCCTGAGTGTCCTGAAACTTGCTCTATAGACCCAGCTGGCCTCGAACTCAGAGAGATCTTCTGCCTTTGCTTCCCAAGTGCTAGGACTGAAGGCTTGCTCCACCACATGCAGTCTGTAAGCACCACCCCCTCCCAGCCTATTTGGCTTCCATGCTCAGTTGCCAGGCCTCCCAGGCCTGCCTCAGCATGGGTCAGCATGCCCTGGCCAGCACCCTGAGAAAATGCCCAACGTTGCTCAGCTGCAATCCCTTTCGGTCCCCAGACTCAAGGCAGAACCAGGTGTGTGCCCGGCGTGTGCACAGCCCATGTGCTGTGAGTTTTGCTTGTGTGTCTGGTCCTCACCAGTTTCAGGTAGAGCTCTACATCCTTATCCTTCAAGGTGGAGTACACCTTTTCCATCTTGTAGGTGATGCCGCACTGGGAGTCATCTAGGCTCTTGATGAAGTTGTCCCGGATCTCAGCCATGAGGTTGGTGAAGCAGAAAAAGGTATCTGCTTCAGCGTGCTCTGGGACAGACAGTGAGGGGTGGGTAGGCACAGGAAATGAGGGGTTCTTGAGTCCCACCTCACCTCTCACCCACAGGACATATGCCCCACTTCTACATGTCACCAGCCCGTGGAGGCTGGAATGGGTCCTTCGCCCTGGCCCCGTCCACCCCTAAGGACTTCTCACTCCTACCTCACCTTCCAGGCACACAACCCACTTGGCAGTTTATCATCATACACTCTCCTAGTGGCCATTTATTCTACAGAAAGTTACAGGTGTCAGTGAACAGCAGTATCCTAGAAGGCAGAGCTGGAAAGAGTCTTAGACACAATCCAGGCCAGCACCTGCTCTGACATGGGCACAGATGTCTGGAAGCAGATAAGACTCTGGAGCCCCACGTGGCCCATCAGTCTAGGTAGCCCCATTCTCGTGCTCTAGGGAGTCAGCAATGGGAGATCCAGGTGGCTAAGAGCCTGTCTACCTTTCCACTCGCTATTGGGGTCAGTGGCAAAAGTGTAGTAGAGGGGGCCCACGATCTCGTTCATGCCCTGCACATAAGCGATGCCAGGGTTGAGCTTGGCATAGATGAACAGGATCCGCTCCACCACCTCCCAGTGGGCTTCACAGCCATTGGGCAGAACCTCGTACTCGTTCAGGGCCGGTGGTGCATTGTTCTTGTGCGGGGAGCTCATCTGGGGAGAAGAGGAGAGCCTGTTAGCAGATCAAATGTCCCCACTAAGCTCAATCTGACTCAGCATCTAGCTCATGGGTAGGACAGAGCATGGAGGACCATGTCAGACGCAAGGAAGAGGCAGCTCGATGCTCTATGAAGACACTGGAAGTGACAACCAGGCTAAAAACAGAGGTCAACAGGCATGACGGTGCACACCTTTAGTCCTCACACCTGAGAGGCAGAGGCAGGCAGATCTCTGTGAGTTCAAGGTCTGCCAAGGCTACATAGTGAGACCCTGTCTTTAAAACCAAAAAACCAAAACCAACCAAACACAACAACAGAACAGAGTTAAATTCTGTGGTGAGGAACTGATGCGGGGAGGGGAAGAAGGGACACCCTGCACAATGAGAAATCTTAATCTTGACTGGTAGTTACACAGGTGTACCTGTAAGAAAAACAAATATAACTATATACATAAAATGTGTGCATTTTTAAGTATGTATACTTCTATTGAAAATAAAGACTTAGCTGGGTGGTGGTGGCACACATCTTTAATCCCAGCACTAAGGAAGCAGAGGTAGGTGATAGGCGAATGTCCCTGAGTTCAAAGTCAGCCTGGGATGTGAGGGCGATCTGGCTGCAACATCTGTCACCCCATTGATCGCCAGGGTTGATTCGGCTGATCTGGCTGGCTAGGCGGGTGTCCTTTCCTCCCTCACCGCTCCATGTGTGTCCCTCCCGAAGCTGCACGCTCGGTCGAAGAGGACGACCTTCCCCGAATAGAGGAGGAACAGTCTTCGGTCAAGGGTATACGAGTAGCTGTGCTCCCCTGCTAGAACCTCCAAACAAGCTCTCAAAGTCAGCCTGGTCTATAGACCAGGACAGCCAGAGCCACACACAGAGACCTTATCTTGGAAAAGAAAAAAAAGGAAAAGAAAATAAACATTTGGCTTCATGAAGTGGTACAGGTCTGTGAATCCCAGCACTTGGAGGTAGAATCGCAGAATCAAGAGTTCAATGCTAGCCTCAGCTACATATAGCAGCCTAGGCCAACCTGGAATTCATAAAACCCGTTCAAAACAAGAAAAGGGTCTACAATATCATCAGCTCTGTAGAGCCTCAGGGAATGTAGGGGACTTGGGTGCCTGGTCTCTGCCCTCAGCCTGCTCCAGCAGTGGCTGCAGAGCTGCGGGATCTGCAGGAGAGACTACTGTACAAGGCTGTTTTAGGAGTCCACGCTATCTCTATACACCTGTCACATGTGTATATGACAGAAGCACATCACCCCAGGAGCAGACCACACTCCTCCACCTACTCCTACAATCGTCTCTCAGAACCATTTTCACACGGGTCAGACGACTTCAAAGGCATCATACAGCTGAGGATGGCCCTGAGCTGATCCCCCTGCCTCAGGTTACAGGCGTTGAACCACAGCACCACCTTTGAAGACGAGGAAACTGAGGCTCACACAGACTTGAACCTGGACTGGCCAGCCCAGAGCCTGTGGGCCGAGCTGCTGGAGCAGGCTTTCTCCCAAGAAGGCCCAGTGCTTCTAGCTTTCCAAGAACCTGCTTTCCATGACCTCATTTCCTCCTAGCTGTTCCACAGCCAGGCGGGGCAGGAGAGATCATGCCCAGATTACAGAGGAGGAAAAAGCCCAGAAGCAACAGCTCAGTATCCCTTGCCCAGAGCCGCATGGAAGGCTGACTTAACTCAAGCCACCCCACTACAGGCACAGAATCCCAGGGATGAAGCTTCAGGTGATTCCTGGGCTGTCCAAATCAGATCCACAGGTAGAGTGGGCAGTGTTTGACCCTCATAGGCAATACAACAGTGAAAGGACTGACAGGCAGGGCCTTAATCCGGGCAATCAGCCTCCACACCAAGAGGGATGTACAAAAACTGAGCCACACTTCCCTTACCAAGCTGGCCTATGCACAACAACTCTGGTGGACCCTAACCCCGTAACAGGGACATGGGACCAGGAGTGAATGCAGCCATGGTGGCTGCCCCATCAGTTAGCAACTCAGGGAAAAGAAATTGTGCAAGCCTCCATTCCCTGATGGGAGGCTACAGAACAGAGTTTTGCCACTGATGAAAGCCAGTGACATGTGGGACAAATCATCACTATGGGTCCCAAAGCCTGGGTCTAAATGGAGAAATAAGGCCATACACCTTTTTGGGCACAGCAGCTGCCGCAAGTGGCAAGGGTCTGCTAGACCCTGGAGCTCAACAACCCTCAGGGCTTACCCCGTTCTGTGTGCCCCAGATCTGTCCCTGCTGGAACCAAACAGAAAACTCTCGCCTAGACAAATGCAGCCATCTGTTTTGATGTCCCTTCCATGCCCTAGGACACCTGACCCAAAAGTTGCTACCTGCCCAGAATACTCCAAGAGCCCACCAGCCATCTGTACAAAGGCCCTGTCTAACCTCCCTACCAACTGCTCTCCTAGTACCCTCCAGCACCTTCCCTCTCCTGTCTCATGGCTTCCAGCGATAGTGGCCTCCATTCTTCCCCATGATACAAATGATAAACTAAGCTTGCAGCGTGAGGCGTAGAACCAAGCAACTCTGCAGTGGTGAACAAGATGCCAGAGGCCATGGGTCCCTAAGGCAGCCCAGCCCGGCTGCTTCAACCAGGTGAAGATGGCTTTGTTGCACCATGGGCTGGGCTGCTGTTTGGTATCTTCTCCTGTCTCAGGACTGGAATGTGGGGTTGGGAGCTGAAGGGCAGCATTGGGAAAGCCATACTGCAGAGTGGTGGCATGTTCACGGCCATTGGAATAGGCATATGATGCCAATCAGGGCGGTGACTTGCCTGCTACAGCTATACTTTCTCATCCATTTCGACCCTTGTACAATAATAAAGCTGTTTTCTTTTTCAAGACAGGGTTTCTCTGTATTGCTTTGGAGCCTGTCCTGGAACTCACTCTATAGACCAGGCTGGCCTCAAACTCACAGAGCTCTGCTTGCCTCTGCCTCCCGAGTGCTGGAATTAAAGGTGTACACCACCACCAGCCAGCAATAACGTTTTTTTTTCTTAAAAAAAAAAGATAAATTACATTTACACGGTTATTAAGTATCAACATTCAACACAAATCCAAAGCTGACCACCAGGCCCCAGGACTGAGACAGCTGGGTGGCCTCCCCACGGAGTTCAGGGAGGGCATGGTGACATGTGGGCAGCACACATGGCAGTGGCCAGTGGCTTCATGGTCCACGCAGCGAGTAGGGAGCAGGGACATAAGCTAGCTGGCCTGTGGGTGGAGGGGACACAGAGGGTACTGGGGGAGTCTCAGTCTGAAGGGCTCTTGTCGTCTGCAGCAGAACCGCCAGCCTGGCCCCATGTGGTGAACACCGGCACAGACCCCAGCAACACTTGAAAGGCTGTTTCTCCTCCATCTTTGCCATCCTGCCACACAGGCCAGCTGAAGCTGACATCCAGATCTGGATGGAGCGCTATGGAGCACTGTCCTCAAGACACCCTCCTCTCTCAGTCATCTCCATTTCACCTCTGCCAAGCCTGGGCATGGACAGTACCCCCCTCGCCTTGCAGCTACTGTATCCTGCTGCAACAACAAAAAGGCCCTCGGACACTAACTGTCAGAACACAGGAAGTGCACAGTGGATCAAACGAAACATTTAGGGGCCAGCTGTTAAGAAAAGACCCCAGAGGCTACAGAGATGGCTCAGAGGTTAAGAGCACTGACTGCTCTTCCAGAGGACCTGAGTTCAATTCCCAGCAACCACATGGTGACTCACAGCCATCTGTAATGAGATCTGGGGCCCCCTTCTGTCTTGCAGGCACACATGCAAATAGAGCACTCATATACATCAATAAATCTTTAGAAAAGAAAAGACCCCAGGGGGCTGGAGCAAAGGCTCAGAAGTTAAGAGCATTTGTTCTTGCAGAGGACCAGAGTTCGATTCCCAGCACTCAGAACTACCTGACTCCAGTTCCAGGGGATGGAATGCCTTTTTTGGACCTCCACAGGCACCAAACATGCACATGGAGCACATACACACATGCAGGCAAACATTCAAACAAAATAAATAAATCTTTAAAAAGATCCCAGGTCCTCAACTGGCTCTTACATTTGTGACCCCGCTCCGGTTCCGGGCCACTGTCTGAGATTTCAGGGTTGTCTGCTCCACCCGCTTACGGAGGGTCTCAAACTCATTCTGTGGGTCCAGGATGAGGAGACAGGGGTACTCAGTGGCTCTTTGGAAGAAGGAGATATCTGGACACAGCCTCCTATTGGAATGGAGAGAATGGTATCACTCAGGGTGGCAGCCCCAGGTATCCTAAGACATGGCTAACTTTATGTATTTATTTCACAGTGCTGGGGACAGCCTAGGTACATGCTAGAAAAGTGCTCTACTACTGAGCCACTTCAACTGTTTGCTTGTTTGTAATTCTAACATTTCAGATGGGTATGATGGCTCACACCAGTAATCAAGCACTTGGAAGACCTAAGGCAGGAGGATTGCCCAAGTTCAAGGCCAGCTTCCGGTACAAAGTGAGCTCCTGAGCAGATATGACTAGTGTAAGACTGTATCTCAAGAAACTAAAATAATATTTTAATCCCCAAAACACAGTTTTTACAAAGGCAGTAGAAATTACATATACATATATATATATGCTCATTTCATATGTGTTCTGGAAGAGGTACATGTGTACATTTTAGAACTATATTCATGGTCATAAAGCCTAATTCTAGTAAACCATGAACACCTTTCCAAGACAAAAGCACTTGTCTAGGAACTAAGGATATAGATCGGTAGTAGAACACTTGCCCAGCATGCACTATATATACATGTATGTAAGTATGTCTGATATTTATGAGGAGTCAAGTCCTGAGTTCAGTCCCCAGCAAAAAATTATATTGTATTTACATGCATCCATCTGCAGATTCATGGATACGCACAAGGATTAACATGGTCATTTACCACAGGGAAGGTTTGGTTAAGTGCAAAAGAACACCCCCTGCTGATAAGAAGTATGCAAGGAACGGAAGCAGGGGCATCTGGTGCACGACAGGGCACATCCCCGAGCTCCTGGGCACAGTACACGGCACACTGGCCCTCTGGGAACACTGACAACCTATTGTCATCACCAGTGAGAGAAGGGGCCTGAACCAAACTACTACAGGATGAGGTTCTTGACCTAACCCTGGCCAGTGCAGCATCTCAGCGGTAGGGCTGCTCCAATGCCAGTCTGAGGAGAAAGGTGCCGAGAGCCTGGTGCACCACCCCATTCAGACATCCATAGGACACCTAGGAAGGGATCTGGGCAGAGACGCAGCACTCAGGGGGGTGACGGGGGAGATCTTCTTGTAGACTTGATCCCAAGCCTCACAGCACTCCTGCATCAGTTCCTTGGGCTAGGAATTGATGCACAGACCTGTGCCTACCATCCTCCTCTTGCCTGGCATCTCGTGCTAAGTCACCTCCCCTAAAATAAGGCTCCTATTCTTTCTCACAGCAGCAGCAACCTTTGCAACCCCATGTGTGTTGACACCTTTGCAACCCCATGGGTGTTGACAATGAACATTTGTCTCCTCAGGTAAACCTCCAGACCTCCTCACATGGGTGCAGCTGGCCTGTGCTGCTGCAGGCAGAATTGGCCCCAGGATCCCTTGGGGATGCCAGTGAGGTGCTCTGTATGACTTTCCTGTCTACTCAAGGAGTGGGTACCAGAGAGGACTCTGTCAGGCTGCTCCAAGTGAAAGGGGATCAGCTCCCAGGGCCCTTCTCCAAAGGCAACTGATTATTTCAAAGGCCTCTGCAGCATGCGGAAGCCAGCCTAACAATCTAAATGATACGTGAAGACCCATCCATACTGCACATGCCCTTAACCTGGGTCATCTCACTTCTGCTTCCAGATAAGTCACGTTCAGAGAGCCTGACTCACCTGCCCTTGGTCAAACAGCCAATTGGTGAAGCTGTCACTGAAACCAGACAAACAAATAGGCTCCAGTGCCTTTGGTCCTCCACTGCAGGTACAAACCCTGGCAAGGGCCCCTGGCAGCACAAAGCCCCCGAGCCTCTTACCGGACATCTTTGTCAATCTGCAGTAGCACCTCGTTGTCCTTAAAATACGTGTTCCACCTGCTGTCGGGGTTTGGGTTGAGGGGCTGTGAAGAGAGAAGCAGATGCTGTGTGCATGGACCAGCCTGGGCTGCAGCTCAGCGGCCTCACATCAAAAGCCCAAAGACCTAGCTCCGGGCCAGAGACACGCTCAGTCCACCCGGCAAGTACAGGCTTCCCAGTGCCTCCTGGGTCTGTAGAAGCACTTCCACACTGCACTGGCAGCGGCCAGCCTGGTAGTCTGCTCTGAGCACTTCCTGTATGGCAGACAGTGTTCTCAGCAATGCCCCAGCCAGAAGTGTGCGTGTGACACTCACTCACTGTGCACCCGAGAGGGCAAACGAACACGTGAGTGTCATTTCACGATCTACCAGTGCTTTGAGTAGTCACTCCTATCTGGGAGGACGGGTCTGAGGCCAGTCCAGCTACACTTCCTGCTGTGTGAAGAGCGTATGAAGAAGCCCGGTATAGCTGGAGAAAAACAGGGCTTTCTCCAGGCCTCAGGCGGGCACTTCTTCCTTACTTCTGCCCGGCCCTGTCTCAACCATACAATCCCAGTGCCTTCCTCAAGGACCCTGGGTGAGGAGAGGCATGTAGTTCAGTGGCAGAGTGACTGTCTACAACGTTTGAGATTCTCTGCCCAACCTCCAGCACATAAAAAGGCAAACAAATGAACATTTCGCCAGGGATAAATCCCATTCTTTTTTTTTTTTTTTTTTGGTTTTTCGAGGCAGGGTTTCTCTGTATTGTTTTGGAGGCTGTCCTGGAACTCTCTCTGTAGACCAGGCTGGCCTAGAACTCACAGAGATCCGCCTGCCTCTGCCTCCCAAGTGCTAGGATTAAAGGCGTGCGCCACCAACGCCCGGCCAATAAATTCCATTCTTGAGAGGGCTGAAGAAGGAAAACTGCAAGTTTGAGAGGAGCCTGGACAACACAGCAAGATCCTGCCTCAAAAACAAACAAACAAACAAACAAACCAAAAAATCCATTCGGGGCCTGCAAAATGGTTTTAGTAGGTAAAGCGCTTGCCACGCAAGCATAAGACCCGAGTTCAGTCCCCAAAACACATGGGGGAAGGCAGGAACAGGCACTGACTGTTGTTCAGCAGTAGTTTAGCTGGGTATGTTACTGGACCCATTTTCCTCAGTACACTAAAGGAACCGGCATCTTAATCTTTTTATTAAAATACAAAAAAAAAAGTACTGGTGGTAACGGTTCCAGAGACCATGCCCAAAGAGCTCCTGGAGCAGGGTGACTCCCACAGCACCCTCAGGACAATGGTTATCCATTGTTGCTAACTGAGGTAAGGCTTCTTGCGCCTAGAATAAGCAGGGAGACACCACTGTTTCCAAGGGGCAGGAAAACTGAAGGGAGGAACTGACAGGAACGCAGGCCAGGCCGCCTGTCCTCTATCAAGGGGCCCTTGCCTGGACCAAGCCTCCCCCTCCCCATGTACACTCTTGGCCCCTGATGTCAACCTTACTTACATGGTCCTCAAAGGTCACATCCTCCCTGGATACACCCATGTTGGCCTTGGCAATGCCAGGCTGGATGATCATTTCTCTCAGGAACTGAGAATAGAGCCCCCTGCAGAAAAGTAGGGCAGAGAAGGATGAGTCCAGAGAAGCACACACAGGAAACAAGACAGGCGTGCGTGAGGTGAGAGTCCTCTAATTCACAGGTCTCACCTCTGCTTGGCCAGGATGGAAGTCCACGAGGCTCTCTCCAAAGGGAGGTAGTTCAGGAGGATCTGCACAGAGAACAGCACAGCTCTGGCGACATCCCTGCCCCCATCCTGGACAGCAGTGGAGGCACACAGGCCTCAAAAGAAAGGCTTCGTGAAACCCGGAACAGGCGAGGTGGCTGTGACCCCGGAGCTCAGCACTGAAGGGTGGCCCCCCTGCTCCTAGCCCCAGCTCAATCCCTCCCTCTGCTTTCCTCACAGACTCTTCTGAAAGAGAAGAGGCCATGGCGTTGAAGGGCTGGTAACCAGGAACAGGGTTGCCACAGCTCAGCGGGTGGCTTCAGGGGGAACTAGCCTCGGCTTTGTCCCAGTCGGCATCACTTCCAGGAAGTGGGGATCTTTCCTGGCATTATAATGTGTGCCATCCCCAAAGGCATCCTGGAGAGGATGCCAAGAGAACACAAACCCCCACAACTTCCAGAGAGACTTCCTCAGACAAGCAGTGAAAGGAGCAGAGAGGAGAGGCCAGGAGGAGGTCCATGCAAGACCCAGGAGACCCCAAACCAAGAAGCCCCACCCCAGGCACACCCACCTTCCAGCAGAGGCAGCGCAGTCCGCCCTCACAGGGGATGCCTGTGGACACAGCAGGCAAAGGTCACCCCAAGCCAGAGTTCCAGAACCCCCAGCCCTACACCGTGGAGTCAGCTGGCGGGAAGCACTTCGGGGACCACTCTCCACGAAAGACGTGTCTGCGCTGGGTGCTAACGCTAGCTTATGTCTACAGCCCTGTCCCCCAGTCTAGAACCTCATCTGTCTGGATGTTCTCTGAACCTTCTCATCCCTGCTATTTCTTCTTCAGAGAGGCCCTTATCAACTACCAACTCTGTTCAAAGTCAGGCTCTCTTTGGGGGAAGAGAGTAGAGTTTTATATAGTCCAGGCTGGCCTCAAATCTACTATGGAGCCAAGAAGGAACATGGCTTCCTTTTGCCTTCACCTCCTGAGTGGCAAGATTACAGGTGTATTTGGCCACCTTGACTAGTTTATGGGGTGCTGAGACTCAAAAGTGAGGCTCTGTACATGCTAGCCAAACACTCTATGAACTGAATGACATGCCCAGACTCAGTCTCTTTTAATTTGTATTTCCTTTACAAGACAGGCTCTCATCATATAGCTCTGGCTGAGCCGGAACGCACCATGTAGACCAGGCTGGTCTTGAACTCACACAGATCCAGCTGCCTCTGCCTCCTGTTCTGGGATTAAAAGTGTGAGCCACCATGCTGGGCATCAGTATCTCTGGTTATATACACTGGCTCTCTATTATAATGCCCATCACAACTGATGTTATATAAAGACCTGAGTATGAACTTTATGTGTGTAACGCATACAAATGGAGAGGTCTCAGGCACGCAGCATATTTGTTTGTTGGTGTCCTATGCCTAGCACAAGACACAGGTCACAAATGGCATTCCACATTTGTGAAATTCAAACCAAACCGTCAGGTTAAGAGCTCTGTGCCAGACAGCCATGATTTCACTGAATTCCAATTTTAGTTCCCATAAGTAAGGAAGATTAGCTCCCTCATCCTCACTTACAGATGAAGAAACGCATCTGTAGACAGAGCGTCTAAGGATTAGGACACAGTTGTAGCGAGCAGCCCAAGCTCTGCACGATCACCACAGACAGCCGCCCTCTGGGGCCTCCTCCACTCCACTCCAGAATGGGAAGGTCAACTTCTGCAATGCTGCCCAGAACCTCGCAAGAACAGCTTTGATGATAGTTTCCCTGGCACCGTGACGCTGAGCCCGTGCCCACAACTCAGAAATCTGCACAACCCAGGCGACTTAAACTCCTTCCTGGCAACATTAGCAGGCAGAACAGTGACACAAGGAGCTATAAGAACACCTTGGGGTGTTTTTACAGGCAGGGTAAAACCCAGCTATCTCTCTGCTGGATCATTAACCACGTGGGGAAGGGCAAAGTCAAACACGGCTGATGTTCAACTCCTTAAAGTTGGTGTTCTAAGACTTGTGTTTTACCATTAACCAAAGGTCACTCTCAACTCTGACCCAAAGTCAGGCAGAGGAACCAGGAACCACCCTGCAACTTCTGAGAAACGACAAACACCTCATCTGGGCTTAAAAAGTCACCCCCATTTCAGTCTTCAGGCTACTGCAGGGAATCTGGGGAGCCAGGCGCCTCCTCTCTGAGGTCAAAGGGTGGTTACCACTCTTACAGCATCCAGGCAACTCTATGCAATCAGGCTATTTTCTTGATGCTGCCCCTCCATTTTAGCCATAATGCGATTCCAGAGAAACCCCAGGTAAAATTATGCCTTACCACTAAAGCTGAGTTCTCGAAGTTTTTCTAACACAATGGAGGGCTCCTTCAGGACATCCTGGAAATCTGCAATCCTTCAAGGGCAGAAAAGGAAACCCCAAATGACTAATCTTGCAGCCCACAGATCCCTTACCCCAACAGTCTCCAACCTCTAGCTTAGGGAAGTGGGCAACACAGGGTTCTTCTTCTAAAGTCTGCAATACCAACGAAGAGCAACGAGAGATGTTCTGGTCAAAACGGTTTTAAATGAGACCTTAACATTAAGCACTTTCCACTGTTAGTGAGCTGGCATTTCCTGGGCACTTGCTGTGGCCAAGCCCAGCCCATAGCACACCACTACCTGAATTCACACGACTAAGCTTCGAAACCAGGAGTAATTTGATCTACAGACAACGGACCTGACAATCTCCCCACCACTCTCATAGCTCTTGGTTGGGGAAGGGGGAGAGGGGGCACAGATCTCTTGGGCCTGCCCCCAGGCAAGGACAAAAGACTAAAAATTAGTCCTGGAGTGAGCAAAATTTAGCCGACGTTGCAAGATGTAGCCTGCGGGGAGGGGTGGGGGCGTTAAGAGACCAGACTGGAGAATCCGGGTTCTCTCTAGTGTTTCTCAAGAGTATTTGAGGGGAAAAGAGGATCCTGGAGCCAGGAAGTGGGGAGGATAACAGGTCTGGATGAGCGAAAGGGGTCCAGAGTGAGAAAGAAAGGTGACAGCAACATAAGAGAAGCATCCCTGCTTCTCCCCCGACACACTGGCAATGATGTTGTAAAGTGGGCGCTGGGGACCCTCCACCGGGGGTGGGGGCTATTCTTGGCCGCACATGCGCTGAGCAACTCCGTCGGGAGAAGGCGCGGCCCGGCCAGGGCAGTCTAGGGCAGTCCTGCCTTCGGGTCTCCTTACCGGCTCTTGTGCAGACTCGACATGGTGTTGACTTCCGGACCCCCGAGCTGCTCCTGCAGCCCCAGCTGCCGCCACTGCCCCCCCTTCCCCTCCGGGGACCCGGGGAGCTTTGCTTAAAGCCTCCGGCGGGAAGCAAAACCGAGAGCGTGCACGTTCCGCAGGAGCCTGGCCACGCTGGTTCCGCCCCGGGATCACATGACGCGGGGCTTCTTTCAGGCCTGGCAAACCCCTGAGCTCCAGGCCAGGCCAGCCCAGGAGCTCGCTGGCTGCCGGCCTCAGTTTCTAACTACGCGATACACTTGCAAATCTCCCTCGCTCCCTGTCGCAGTTGTTTGGTGAACTGGATCCAGTCCTGGGTGTGGTCTTGTTCAATACTGAGTCCTTAAGGAAATGACCGTGTGGCTCAGTAAGTACCGCTTGGAGAAGCCTGAGTACAGCTCGGTGTTTCATTGCCTTTGGGAGTTCATAGACCGTGGAATTTCTGTAATTCCACAATTTCAAAGCAATAGAAAAGGAAAAGCAGGAGCTGAGGGTGTAGTTCAGTTGGTAGAGTGCTTGCCTGGCATGCACTTCGCCTGGGTTTCTGATCCAGCACTGCTTGTAGTTGGACGTGGGGATGCATGCTTTTGAGAGACAGGAAGATCAGAAGCTCAAAGTCGTCTCTGCTAGATGTGAGCTCGACGTCGATAGTCCAGGGAATAACACGCTTGCATGCGAGTGTGAGCACTGGAGTTCGCATGCATGGAACTCATGCGAGAGCTAACAGGAGGGGTGGGTATTTAAAGTATGTGGGTGGGGGCTTTGCCTGCATGTATGTCTGCCTGGAGGGCAGAAGAGAGTGTTGGAACCCCTGGACCTGGAGTTGTAGACAATTGTGAACCATTAAGAGAGTACTGGGAATTGAACTAGGCCTTTTGTAAGATCAACCGATGCTCTTAACTGCTGAGCTATCTCTCTCTCCAGCCCCCACACAATATAGTTTAGTAAAGACAGGCAAGTGTGGTGGTGAACATCCTTAATCCCAGCATTATGAAGGCAGAGGCAGTGGATCTCTATGAGTTCAAGGCCAGCCTGGTCTACAAAGGGAATTCCAAAACAGCCAGAGCCGTTACACAAAGAAGCCCTGTCTTAAAAAACCAAAAAGGGGGCCTGGAGAGATGGCTCAGGGGCTGGAGAGATGGCTCAGTGGTTAAGAGCACTGACTGCTCTCTGGAAGGACCTGGGTTCAATTCCCAGCTCCCACATGGCAGCTCACAACTGCCTCTAAGTCAGTTCAAGGGAATCTGACACCCTCATACCAATACACATAAGATAAAAAATTTTTTTTGTTTGTTTGTTTTTCGAGACAGGGTTTCTCTGTTTGTTTTGAAGACTGTCCTGGAACTCGCTCAGTAGACCAGTGAGCTGGCCTTGAACTCACAAAGATCCACCTGCCTCTGCCTCCCGAGTGCTGAGATTAAAGGTGTGTGCCACCAATGCCTGGCCACATAAAATTAAATAAATTATTAAAAAAAGAAAAAACAAAAAGGAAAAAAAGAAAGCTAATAAAAATGGAAAATTAATTAAAAATGACAAGTAAGAAGGGGGAAGGAAAAAAATCAAGATGTCAGAAATCCTTAAGTTTTCCTATTCATACATTCATACATACATATACATTCATAATAGTACTTTTTTTTTTGTTTTTTTGAGACAGGGTTTCTCTGTATTGTTTTGGAGGCTGGCCTTGAACTCACAGAGATCTGTCTGCCTCTGCCTCCCGAGTGCTGGGATTCGTACTTACTTCTTAATTTTTTTCATGAGCCAGGAAAACTTTAATGTTTGACATCGCTTTTCAGATCCTCTTATTTTCATGCTCCCGGCCTCTAAGGCTTCATTGGCCGATAGAGCAGGCACACACTTTTCTAGACCAAAGTCCCAAAGTTTCCCATATTCCTCCCAAAAAAGAACAACATGGTCAGGTTTGTCACAGAAACACCGCGATCCTGGTACCAACTTCTGTCTTGCTGGGATAAAACACCATGACCAAGACAAGTTATAGAGAAAAAAGGAGGGGCTGTTTGGGATTACAGTTTCAAAGGGATAATGGTCCGTGATCACCATCATGGCAGGAAGGCATGACAGCAGACAGTCACTTGCAGCAGGAACAGCAAGCTAAGAGCTTCTGTCTTGAACCACAAGCACAAAAAGAGAGTAGGGCTGGAGAGTTGGTTCAGCAGTTAAGAGTACTTGCTGCCAGTACTCAGGAGGCAGAGACAGACAGATCTCTGAGTTCAAGGCCAGCCTGGTCTATACAGTGAGTTCCAGGATTGACAGTGCTGTTACACAGAGAAGCCCTGTCTCAAAAAACAAAACAAACAAAAAACTTGTTGCTCTTCCAGAGGTTCTGAGCTAAGTTCCTGGTATCCACATAGCAGCTTGCAACTATCTGTAACTTCATTTCTGGGGGATCTGAATCTCTGTCTTCTGCCACCATAGTCAAGGGCACCAGGCATGATACATAAACTCATACACCTAAAACAATTAAATAAATCTACAAAAAATTAAGGGAGCTGGATGGTGATAATGGCACACACCTTTCATCCATCCCTGCACTCGGGAGGCAGAGGCAGGTGGATCTCTGTGAGTTCGAGACCGGTCTGGTCTATAGAGCGAGTTCCAGGACAGCATCCAAAGCCACAGAAAAACCCGTCTCAAAAAAATTGTTTTTATTTTTACTGATGAGTATGTATATGTTTGTGGGACAGAAGATGGTGTGGGATTCCCTGGAACAGGAGTTACAGATGGTTATGAGCTGCCCAATGTGAGTACTGAGAACCAAAATGGGGTCCTCTGCTACAGCAACAAGTGCTCTTAACCACGGAGCAGTCTCTCTACACCCCTTGGAGTTTCTTTGTTGTTTTGTTTTTGTTTTTCAAGACAGGGTTTCTCTGTGTAACTTTGTAGACCAGGCTGACCTTAGACTCACAGAAATTCACCTGCCTCTGCCTCCGGAGTTCTGGAATTAAAGGCATGCACCAATGCCCAGCAGTAATTTTATTATTTTATTTTTTTATTGCCTGGGTGTATGTCTGTGCCACGCATGCCTAGTGCCTGCTGAAGCCAGAAGAGGGCACCCGTCCCCTGGAGCTAGAATTACAGAGGTTGTGAGCTACTGTGTAGGTGCTGGGAATCAGCCTGACTGAAGCAGGATTTTTGTCTTAGCAAGGTTTGACAGTCTCTCTCTTGTGTCCTGCTTGTCCAATTTGAACAGCATACCGTCAGCAGTTGAGGCAAGGGCACTTTCTTTCCCAGTGGCTTACTTTTGCCACAAAGAAAGTAAACTCTAAGTGAGTTTATTCAATGCCCATCATCTTCTCTGAAGTAAATTGGTGCTGTCAGGAGCAGACGTGTCTCATTGTCATAAAATAAAAGAAGCCATGTTATTAAAACATCTTCAGTGGATATTCTATAGATCTCTGAAGTGTCTGAAGATGATCTACCTAAAACATACCTGTTTGACCTTGTAAACATACCAAGATGACTACATATTTGATTGTAAGTGGTGACTAATTCTAACCTGCATTTCCTTGTTATCCTATATAGCTGGCAATAATAACTTTCAAGGACTAGAAATTGGCATTACATTGTTAAATGGGCTGTATAGGTACAATATCTTGAATGAGATTAGAAGCATATGTGCAGTATATTTTAACAAAATTAATTTCAAATTTGTATCAATATACAAAATTTCTTTGCAATATACAGAAGTCAAATCTAATGTAAATTATTTAAAACTAGTATTTGCTTATTAGTAGTAGATTCAATAATCTACCTTTTTATCTTATATCTATATTCTCCTTTTTTCTTTTCAGAGTAAATTCGATAATCTACCCTTTTATCCTATCATATGTATATCCCCCTTTTTTGTTTTCAAAACAAGAACCCTGAATATAATCTCCTTTGTTTAGCTTTTAACTAATTCCCCAAAACAATGACAAATATCCATAACCTAGTGAAAGACTAAAAGCTACCCACCCTACCACTTCGGAATGTGGGAGTCCTGTTCTTAAATTTACTTCCTGCTATCTGGGAACGACAGCATCTTTAGGGGATCCTGAAAAGAAAAATTTGGGTTAGTTGTCAAGTCCTGGGAGAGGTAGCTGTATCATTTGCTGCCCAGTCACTGCGTACCAGGAAAGTGCAGGGCTTGTCTCAAGTCCTGGATAGAGTAGTCTGGAAGGCTGGATCATCACAGCTAGTTTGTAGTCCAAAGCTGATTTCTAGGTGGTGGTGGTGTTTTTCAGCTTAGTGGTGGACTCATCCTTGTGCAGGTCTATCAAGTTTTTGGAGACTTCAGAGATTGCATTAGGACAATCCCTTTTCTTTCTTTCTTTTTTTTTTTGTTTTTTTGTTTTTTTTTTTTTTGAGGCAGGGTTTCTCTGCATTGTTTTGGAGGCTGTCCTGGAACTCCCTCGGTAGACCAGGCTGGCCTCGAACTCACAGAGGTCCGCCTGCCTCTGCCTCCTGAGTGCTGGGATTTAAGGCGTGCGCCACCAACGCCCGGCTAGGACGATCCCTTTTCTTAATTTCTTCTTTGAATGCTTATTTGTACAAAGGTCTTTAAATTCCTCAGGATGGTTGTTTTTATTTTCCTGGAAAAACAAAAACAAAACCTTTCCCTAACTCTAACTTTGGGGGGGTTCCTAATCTAATCTTTATCAATTGTGATTTGTAGTTTCTCCTGAGATTTTTGTTTTATCTTCCAAAGCTCTTCTATCATCCAGAGCAGTGTGGTTTTTTACAGTAGGCATTGGGTTCTTTCATTGCTCTGGGAAGGAGTTTGCATGGTGGCAGGAAACGACGGAGCCAGATTTGGCATAGAGGCCACTCAAGGAGTTTCCCAAGGGTAAAGAGTTACCTTGACTGTCCCTTGTTGATTGCATTCATTAGTCTAATGCCTGCCTGTGCCCCACCCTCTGCATTATCCAGAAGGGAGGGGTGTTCCGTTTGGATTATGCTTAGAAAAAACATTGTTTTTAGGACACCTTGTTCACCACAGTTGAGACATTTGACATTTGATTTTTCTTCAAACCTCTGGAAATCACCTCTCCTATCTACGCATCATCATGGTCATGTGATTCAATGCTGACTTTATATCAGACCTGTGGTGATATAT